AATAATTCCATAAATCAGTTCGTTTAGAAGTAGCATTTATAAATTTGATCTTTAATTTTGTAGATCTTTAGGTCTGTAGGAACTTTGGTTCTTTGATCATCTTTGATCCTTAAGAACTAACTTGAATAAGGCCTTTTTGTGCTAATTGCTTTTGAGATTAGCACGACAGTTTGAATATCTGACCTCACTTAGCTGAGATGTTTCGTTGTCTTTTTAGATGCTTATTGGAGATTTTAAGATTTTAGCTCCATGTTTTATGGTACTATTCAGCATTACCATTGTCATAACACATTGATAAGTTAGTGATCATATATATTACTAATAAAAAAATCAGACATACTTCAGATGATTTGATTTGGAGGTTTATTCTTTATATGATTCGGATGTAGTGAAATTTTGTATAACCTTGGCATTAATTTTTTTCTTACCGTTTGCATTTCATGTTGTCGAGTAGCGCTAGGAATCTCGTTTAACGTGTTTGTTCAAATTTTCATTGAGGTCATCTGCAGATCTTATTGTCCGAATGTTCAACACTACAAGAATGATCAGTTATTTTTTCAGCTAATAATTTTGGCTGGAAAAAACATCCAGTATTCATTATGTGCAAGTTAGGCAAGCTGATGCCAGTAATCAGTGAGACATTTGATGCATGCGCTCATGCAAATGTTAGCTAATTATCCTGTACTTCTGATTGGTTGGTTTGATTCAGTTGTTCCATAATTCTTGGATGCAAACTAGGAAATATTCAGTAAGCTTAGTTGTTAGAGAAACAACGCTTAGAACACTTTAACCTTGCACACCCTCATCAAAGTAATCTTGTTGAAATTGGGTCCACTAACCTAAAGTACTTTCCTCAAATTGTACTATTTAATCGAGCTACATCTATTGCTTCATTTACCGTGCGAAATTTCATAAATTATGATGAATATAACGAAAAAATTTGTTCAGTTAGAAATGTTTGTTGGATGCGCAAGAAAGGTAGGTGATGGGGAAAGGACTTCTAAACTAACATGCAGGCACCATCGACACAGATACGTCGACGGTGCCTGATACCGCAGGCGCCACACGATGCATTGCACGCAGACCACTCGGACCACGCCAAGAACGAACCAGTTGTTGGTAGGGCGCGTACCTGCGCCTGGAAACCTTTGCCACTGCGATAGAATGATCGGAATAGTACCAACATATCCTCAGTAGCTGACATAATCGATGATTGTGGCGTTCCATAACAACAATATCTAAAATACGAAGAATAACTTGGATATGTGATGGAGATACTTTCTGTAAGCTTTCTGTAGAGATGCTTCCATCTATCATAATACATTTAAAATCATTCCCAGTTTCATTCATTTGAATAGATGGACAGTATGTAATTCTACTTAGCTATAAATCTTTGTTAATTCAAAAGAACAAGTTGCACTACCTCATTCCGGTATTGGCGAAATCAGTTGAATTGCGTATTTCGATATAATCCATGCAAAGTGAATGTCGCACCTTGCAGTACATCTCGAATTCACCGTAGAAGCGTAACTGTACACGTTGACCAGGTGGAGCTACCAAAAGCCAACTACATTCCTGTCCCTCTTTAAAATCTCCGGGATAATTTGGACTTGCAATACGCTTCCAACTTGATGTCAATTCCATACGTCCTCCACAATCTGCTCCATATCCTGGCATTACCCGTTCGCAAAGCTGTAGATTGAATGAAAAATAACATGTTATTTTACTGTTAATTTTTCAATTATTTCAAATTGAAAGTTATCATTATTTTTTCTAAGAAAAAAGAATAAACTATACTCAGTTTTCTTATTCTACTTCATATCTGATGTTAGAATTTTTAATTTCTGATTTGATAGGATTGGATATTTTTTCAACAGTATTTTTTATTATCTTTAATTGATTTTATTCATTTCTTCCCGATATTCTATATAACTTTTGAATTCTATCTTTTACATACGCATAAAAAAGTCTTGCATTTTTTCAGATGCTATAATTAATTCTAAATAAAGAAAAAAAATGTATACTTTTCCAGTGAATCCATCTGGACAACGACATCGTCCACATCGTCTTGGATCCGTGTAACCTCCACGTTGACAGGGTAATTTCTCTGCACATGAATCGCTACAATATATCACATTCATGAGACGAATATCATTGAATGATAATTGATCTCGTTGTCCAATGGTCTTTTGATAATCCACAATGTTCGTATTCAGTGTAAACAAATCTTCATATCGACCGAATGCTTTACTCCTGTAATTGAATTGAATTTCGATAACAAATGCTTTAAATGAGCTAGAAACAAGAGAGCTTACTTTCTTTTAAATTCATTGACCTTTATCCTTCTTTCATATATAATATATTTCAGATCAAGTAGTAAAGTGAATCATTTCATCAACAATTCCATCATCCTTATTCCCTAGTTTTTAAAATTTATTGTTATACAGCTTTCGAAAAAAAACTAAAATTTTCACAACAAACGATATTGTTAAATATTTCAGATGAACATCTGAAAACTAATAAGAAGTATTTGAAGTAAATTTTTACCTGTAATGCATAATACTACCATAATCATAGGGCACATCACCGTTATCCACATCAGCCGGCAATTCTTTTAGAAACTGTCCCTTGCTATCACGATCAATATTCTCCCAGCGAACCGTAACATAGTTATCACGATCAGGTCGAGATTGCTCATGCCAGAAACCCAATGCATGCGCCACTTCATGTGCTATCACTCCTAACTGTAATCGTACAGCTTTTTTTTTCTTTAAATGTTATCACTTACTCAATCCCCATAGTTTTAACTTTTTCATGATAGTATTTGTATGTTACATTTTTATCTTATCTAAGTGAAATATATCTCTCCAAATTTTTGCAATCTCTACCATAAGTATCTTAAAATGAATTTATCACTTTGAAATAACAATATTAGACATACTCGAATGCATTCTGGTGCTAATGAGACAAACTGCGGTTCGCCAAGTGGATGTCTACCAACATTGGATGCGCATCCATCCACATCCGTAAAAACGATTCGGTTCTCGTGAATTTCATTATCTCTCCGCTCAAAATTCAAGCATGTTATATTGTGCCAATGTTCAAGCGCCAACTCAATTACCCGTTGCTCACGTACGGCTAAAATTATTAATTGCTACCTTATAAATTGATCATGTAAAGAGATAGTTGCAGGTAATTAATATTCGGTAAGCATATTCATGCTATTAAGAATTTAAAATTTTTCATTCAATTTTCATTGATCGAGTTAATTTTGTAAAGTTTAATAGGTAGTAACATGATAATTTTTTTTACAAATATTCTGCAAGATTTATTGTCCAGTTTTCGTTTAAAAAAAAGTTTGTTATAAAAATATCTTTGTCAAAGAATTATTTCAACTTTATCAATAATATTTTTTCAACGACAAACTGGATGGTAAAATAAGGAAAGATTCTCACTTAATTTTTAAAAGAAATTTTTTATCAAATCACCACTTTATTCAATCAAAAATTTGAGTATTAAGAATTCTCAACATTTTTTTCTCATCTCCACACATTTACTTGAAGTTCTTTCCCGAAGTAATGTTAGCGTTTTTATGAAATTTTATAAGTTTTTATGAAATTTTATGGCATGTTGAGTGGAGAAAAAATCCACTTGTAAACCTAAGAAAAGATGACAAGTTCTGTGGTAGAAAATAGCTTCAAAACTGATCACGCAAAGAAGTTAATTGAATTAAACAATATTAGACTCTCCAAATACTTCAAATCAATTAACTTAATTAGGCATAAATAATTATGCAAGACCTATCTCATTTATTATTAACCTTACATGCTGCTTTTTATTTTCTTCCTCTCCATTTTGTTTTTCAATTATTTAATATTAATTTCTCTTACAATAGAAAGAACGAAATTGAAAAGGAAAGTAATTTAGCACAAGTCCATTTGTGCATTATCAATTAATTACATGTATAAATGACATGTAAAATATTACATGTAAAATAATTACATGTAAAATGGTGTGAAAAGGAATGAAAAAAAAAAAACAGTTCTCACTTTCTGTTTACAAATGTGACATAATTTTGACTATCTTTGGTTGTTTTTTAAGTGAACAAAAAAAATGAATGATAAAAATGAGCGGATGAAATTTTTTCAATGAAATTTTCTTCAAAATTTTCTCTCACTTTTACCATAGGGTTTATAAGAATGATATAAAAACAATGAAAACAGATAAACGCATTATTGCATATGTAAATATTATATGGGAAAATTAGTGAGATTATTTTATTTAATTGATATTTACGCTTATAATATCTTAATTTATCAAATTTTATCCATTTATACAAATTGCAAAAAAAATTTCATTTCAGTGCAAAAAAAAAAATTCCATTTGAATGTGCTGCATTCTGCTAATCGAATGAAATTTATTTTCAAAAATTTAAATTATTACTCAAAAAATATTAGCTATAACTAAATTATCTGTTCATTGTTAATCCTTATCGCCAAATTCTGTAAGAAAAATACTATTTGTTACTTTGATGATGAGCAATTTTGCAATGTGTTGGATATTAAATTAAAAAAAAAAAAGAATAGAAGGCGTACTGTGTGACCCATCAAAACTATAAATGATCGGTTTATGAGAATTCCATCGTCGTAATTCGGAACGGATAAATTTCCGTTTCGTACGTCGTCCATGCTGTAACATTCTCTCATAGATCTCATGTGCTTGTTCTGCATCCAAAACAATATCACCTGGAACAATACTTTTCAGAAATTAAATTTTATTAACTGGATAATTTAACAGAATTTTAATTAACTGAAATTCCGATTATTATTTCATTTTACGATTATGACATACAGAAATAATCTAATGCTAACGAGATCAATAATTAATGATTCAACGGTAATGCTACTTTTTCATATACTTTTCTAGCTTTCGAATTCATAATCTTCAATGCATTAGATTTAATAATTAATAATCACTTCTATATTGAAATGTCTTTGAAATATGCATGCAATGTAATGCACTTTAAATAGATGCGTGCATTGTAATGCATTTCAGATTCGACACTTTTGTGAGTAATTGCGGTTAAAGCAATTATAACTTTTTTCTGCATTATACAATATAGGCCTAAAATGTCATCCATCAATTACTATACTTTGTTGAAATACCTAATTACGTTAATTATTTTCAATAAAAATTTTTTTTTCTGAGCGAAAGTAAATGTGTATGCAGGGATTATTAAATATTTCTAACCTATTTACAGTAATCACATTTACTGCACTAATTAGATGAGATTACAATAGTTGAAAGAATAGGTATTTTTTATTTGTAGAGGCAGAGAGGAAAAGAGGTCAGAAAAGATGAAGAGAACGGTTTTAGTGAAATCGATGACATCTGCGCATCATTCGAAAACAAGAAGAAAGTAATTTTCGAGATGATGATAATGGTAGTAATAAAATATCAACAATAAAATAACAATAGAGAAAAAAAAACAATAAAGAATTTAACAGTAAAAATTTGGTTCAAGATAAAAAGGCCTAATATTTTTTATCAGCGTAATACTGAAGACGTTGTATTAGAGCTTAAGGGCAATTATACTGATTTCAGCAATATCGCTTATCACCATATCTGTATTATCAATTGTATAAGTATATATCGCTGATTGAAAATAATGCTTTTTCAAGATGATAAATGAAGGCACTGATCGGATATTGAAAAAAAAAACTTTTTACCTTCATAATATCGACCATTTTCTTCGGGATTTAACGTATTGTCTTTTTGCCGTTGTGCAAATTTTGCAACTTCTATTGTTAACTGAAAATGTTCATGTCGAAAGAAAATTTTTTCTAATTTTCTCATTTTTCTAACGATTTTTTTTCTTTTATTCATTTTACGAAGCACTCAATTTTTGATTAATTATTTATTTAAAATTTAATTGCATGAAATAAAATTTTAATATCAAATATCTGAAATTTAGATTCTTTATTATTATCGTTCTAAAATATTAGTAATATTTACAATAGCTAATTTGTCACTAGCAATGATCTGTTATCAAAAAAGATGAATGAATATTTGATGAGATGAATTTTGAAACAAAGAAAAAAGAATTTGGAAGAAGGGAGACAGAGAGGTGATATTTAAAATTATCTTGCATTTCAACTTTCTTTTTTTTTTTTTTTTAAATTATCATCAATGAACTTTGATATTTAATTCAGATATTGATCAATTCACATTTTCTATCGTTGTTCTTTCCTTTTCTTTTTTTTGTTTTGATTCGATAAAAAAAAAGAATTCTTTCTATTAAATCAAATGATGTTGAAAAAGAGTCCTTAACGGAATATTATAACCTAATTGATCATATTTCCATAATAATCATTTAATTGCTTCGTTCCGTTCTGTTTCTGCTTCCCCGAAACTTTCTTCCTCAACTCCATTCCGTTTCCGCTTCCTCGAAAATTTCTTCCTCATTTTCAAATTAATTTATGATGGAGAAAAATCATTTTTGTGAGATAACAAATGTTATATGTTTACATTTTAATTGCTAATTTGCTTCAACCACTCTGATGATTAGAGAATGGATCAATAGCTAATTTCTGTTATCATTTTAATTTATTACTTTAAAATTTTACTCATTAATAAGAATTATTGCTTTTTTTTCTTTCTTTTATTATGGAAACTACATTTTGGATGAGAAATTAACAAGCAAAAAATATTACAATTTAGCGAGAAATTTGAATTTATTCAAAAATCATCATTGGACTTCTTTTAACACATTCAGGCGTTATAGACATATCATTTGCAAAACATCAAATGAGTGCCATCATCATATTATATCAAATATTATATTATATCAAAATTTCACTCACTTATTTTGTGTATTGTGGAAAAAGATTTAAGGACGAAAATGGAGATGAACTAATTGATTTAAAGGGAGTTAAATAATGATGCGTTTGCTACGGCGGACAATTCTAGCGGAAAATGTTGCATTTCGAGTTTTAGATTTTGTGCATCTCATGTACATATTACGTTAGCTGTCATTAAAATTCCTCTTTCACTACTCAAACATTCTTCATTAGAAAAATAATGAAAATGGAAGTAAAGATTGCGTGCTTTGTGTTATTGAGCAGATGAGAAAACTGGTTGGTAGGAAAAGATCTTAAGAGGTCATGTCAAGAAGTGAATTTATGAAATGGTGTTATATTAGTAGAAAAAGTGTTGGATAAATTAAAGAAACGAATGATGATGGGCATTCATATCTGTTTAGTTGAGATAAAAATTATTAAATAATATGAAAGTATTAATAACTAAAGATAAATCTCAATAATCAATATCATTTTCTTTCGTGAAATAATTTTATCATTAATAATGAAATATCTGTGTTAAATAGCAATTCATTATTTTCTTTTTAATGTAACAATTGATCCATTTCAGATGATTTATCATATTTTGCTTATTAAATTAGCATCCAATAAGGGTGTGTTTAGAAATTATTTGTTCAATTTATAAAATAAATCTTTTTTTCCGTTTTTATTATTCTAATCTTTTTTCCGTTTATAATTAATAACTATTTAGTGTTAGTTATATGCTTATGCAAAATGATTACAGTTTTATTTTCACGCTTTATATAATTTAATGTTAATTATTATCGTTTCATTGTAAACGATCTACCAAAATGTTGTGGTTAAAGATAAGTAATTGATAAAGCAATGCTATCTAGTAACGATCATCATTAATGCTTATCAAAGTTACGATGTAAAAGTAACTGTGGATTAAAATTTTATCAAATAACTTTAACTACAGTAACATTATTGAGAATTTAAATCTTCCTCATTAAGAACTTTATTTTCTACATGAGAATCAATAATCGTAGATATTATTAAAATGGTTTCAATTGTAGATATTTTGTTTTTAATTGTAGATAATAATCGTAGATATTATTAAAATGGTTTAAATTCAACAATGATGATCCTATGAATTTTTCTAAAAGGCACGATTAATTTCATCGAATTTAAACAAATATTTCATTCAACAAATGTCTCCAGTTTTGCAGTGAATTGTCATTAAGCAACCAATAGGTTCATAGGTTCAACATTTCCTTTCCTTTCCATGCCCTCGTAACCTGTTTCATCCTCCACCATGTACCTCTCTCTCCTTCTTTCTCTCTCTCTTTTTCTCTCTCCCTCTCTCTTTATGATCTCATTCTTCTTTTTTTTTGTTTACAAACAATTTTAGCAATATTATTTTGTTTCTTCACTTCGAACGAAAAATTTAAGGAGGAAAGTGTAATGAAACAATAAGTTTGTTTCAATAAAATAAAATATTGAAAGAGGAAACTTTTCAATATTGCAACTGTGAAAGTTTTTTGTTGAAATAAATAATTTGATGATATTTTTGAAAGAAATTTTTAACTAAAGCGTATGGTATTGTGATGAAATTTTCGTCTTCCTGTTGATGCTGTAAAGTGAGAAAAAAACTCTTTTTAATAAGCAAGAAACAAATACATTCTTTTAGTGAAACAGTTCAATTGTGATTTAAAGTAAAGCTAAGTGTACTTTATTGATATCTCGAAGCTGTTATTATTATTTATCAAATTTTACAAGGATAAGTGATAGTAAAGAAAAAAAAATGCTTAAAAAACGTGAAAAGAAGTGGCAAATAGTAGATGAAAAATGGAACTGTCCAAAAATTGTCCAAAATTCATTGAATTCCTTGCAGAATTTTTGCATTAATAAATTACTTTATTTACATATAAAGGTGAAAAAATAATCCGCCCTTACCGCTCCGGAGGGTTTTGTGGTATATCGTTGAAGAATTTCCTCTGGATGTTGTTCAGCTTCAAATTTTTGAATTTTTTCCAGATAATATTTGACTTTCTGAATCTCTTTCGCATTTTGCCCAAATGTTTTCGCTTTTTCTCGAAGTATTCTTTGGATTGAAGTATTTATAGTAGTTGAGGCTGTAATAACAGTAGTAGTAGTAGTAGTAGTAGTAGTAATAGCAGTGGTAGTAGCAGTAGTAAAATTGATTCCTTCATCTTGCAGTGATACAAGCTGATGTTCATAGGGGTCAGTAAGAAAGAATGCTCCATCGGTACAGGTACTACAGGTACATAAAATAATCACAATAAATATCAACCAGTAATTACCGGTGATGATTAATTCTATACCGTTTAATAAACTCCTACTTCCAATGATAATAGAAAAATTTGAAAAAGTACTGCTAAAAATGGATTTTAATAATGCCATATAAGTTGATCATCTACTGATATGCAGCAGGTAGCAATAAATGAGGTAGATTTCTATCACAGTATATCAAAAAAAAAAATTTTTTTTTCTCACAATGTCAGTTTGAAATAGTAGTGTTAGAAAAGAAGTCTCATTCCGAAAGTATACATCCTTTCGTTTTCCGTTTATTGCTTTTTCGTTTTATAACCTGAATAATTTTACACGGTTGTATTCTATCTCTCTAATTACTTCATTATGAATATAAATTCCTTATGGATATAAGGAATTTATATCCATAATAAAACAATGGATATAAATTATGAATATAAATGGATATAAATTCATTATGGATATAAATGATCAAATTCCTAATTAGACACCATGTTTATTCTATGTCTCTTTTTTCAAATTAAAATGTCGAAAGTAAAATGCATTTACTACCATCGTAATATCACTACCGCAATCATCATCACCATACCATCATTATCTACCGAAACAGAACGAATAGTAGCAACGATAGTATGGCGTTCAATTATTTGGAAATGAGAGAAAATATAATTTTGGAGCAGGTATAAAGGTATTGCTATAGAGAATAATGGCAGTCATGAATGAACACACACACACACACACACACACGCACACACGCATACACGCACGCACGCACCAGTCTTGTCTTCACGGCGAAACACGCCCATACACCACGACAACCCCAACAATACCACCAAACTATCATCACCACTAATTCATTCCATCTCAAACATTCAATATGGCGAAACAGAAATGCTAAAAAGTTCTGGTACTATCGTCTGTGATACTAATAAGAACATTTTCAAGCATTGATGATAGTGATAATGGAAGTTGGAATGATACGAAGAAATGAATGAATGGATATCAATCCAGAACAGTAATATCATCATCAGAAAATAAAAAAAACAAAGCTGGTTCAAATAAATTAGAGTAATTCAGTTCTTTCAATAATTCTGATTGAAAATTAAAAATATAAAAAATATGAAAATATTTTTTAATTTATTTAAACAGCAAATGTTTTTAATTTATTTTAAGCAATCAAATACTACATACTATTCAATGTGTTAGTACACTTTTTCATTCGATAAGTATAAATGATGAAAAATATCTGTAAAATTTTGTCAAATAGAATAAATTTAAATTTAAGTGAATCTATGCATGTCTTAATTAAAATAAGAAATTGTAATTAATAGTTTTGCTTAAATTTTAAAAAAAACTTTAAAAAAAAAGTTCAGCATAAATACACGTTTGTTGACAATGAACAATTTTAAAATCTTTAAATTTATTGAAAATTTTACCGAAGTTCTATTTCAATGATTTATGATGCTCTTTCATAATATCAAAAATAACGCACAAAATTTTTGAAGGAGCAATTATAATTTCTTAAACATAAATTTGACAAATTGTATCAATTTGTCAAAATTTCCGATCAGTGTGATCATTTTGTATCCGGTTTTGTGCGCCCCTTTTTCTTTTTTTCTTATTCTCAACAATGTAACACTTATAAAAAGTCTTTTGATAAAACAATTAAATTTGATGGATGAATCTGAAAATGATGAACTTTTTCAATTGAAGATTTGCTGACCTTTATCATATTTTATATTTTAGAAAAAAAAAGGACACAATTTATAAAATTAATATCATAAAAATTCTTACAATCACTAGTGATTAATCATATAGCATATTAATTATGCTTTTTATCAGTTAACTTAAATAAGAACAGATGATAATTAAGTGCTGCTATAAATACATTACCACATAATTGTATCTTGTAGAATGTTATTCAAGTGTCTTATATGTATGGTTCAGCATTATTATTATTAATTTTCACCCTCCATCGAACTGGATTTTATCTGAAAGAATATTACCATAAATAATAAATTTAAAAATGTTACCATAAATTTTGATGCAAGTAAATGAAAGCTTTCAATTAATCGGGTAGCAATTAAATTTGGCAAACAATATTTTACTGATAATGATAAGTAATGGGGTATCATTTGTGATGACAAATAGCTATTACCATCTTTTTATCTCTTCAAAACTCCCAAAAATAAGCATTCGTATGAAATGATACGATGAAGACACTGTCACATGCAAAAGATGCGACATAAATGAATAATTCTTTTCAAAACAATCAATTAATTATTTTCACTTCCATTTGTAAATTCTTAATGCAAAACTTCGAAATAACAATATATAAAAAGAAAGCGTAATCATTCCAGCTATATTAACTTTATTTATGAATGATAATTCAATGATCTACATGTTATTTATGCGTGAAAAAATGTTGTGAAGTATTTTTCAGAACGTATGACAGAAAGAAATAATATTTGAAATGAATCGTAGCATATTTTCAACAACTGACATCTAAAATATTTGCTGCTCTCGAGCAATTTAGATGGGTATAATTGATGGTAAGTTTATTTTTTGCTAATAGCTCAATGTCAATTTTATTTTTGCTCATTTTTAGTTCACACTTACACGTCAACTTTATTTTCACTCACGTAAATTTACTTTTGAATAATAAATATCAAAGATCTGATGATTCTTTTATCTATCGGTATAAGTGTAAGAAAGTGAAAAACAAAATTTTTCCATTTCATCAATAAATTAAAATGGGAGATGAAAGAAATCCAAATATTTCAAGCATATCAATTTTTGTCGAATAATATTTTAACCTCCTCTTTGATATATATTCATTTATTCCATTCGTTCAAACCAATTTCTTAAGTATTCAAATTTTACGATAAGAATTGTGAGAAAAAACAGAAATTAACTTTCATCAGCTTAGTTGCATTTCTGCTCAAATGTAACCCTTTCATTTTCAAATTTAATTCAAAAAATCATTGATCAAATCAATTTCCGATCGATAAATGGTTACATTTCAATTTATAATGTCAATATATTTTTTATTTAAAACTAGCAATATATTGCCAATTAACTATAACAAGTTGTTGCTTTACTTCGTCAATTTCATCGATATGTTCGTCGTCAATATTATTAATAACGCAAACCGCAATAAACTTATTAAGTATAAATATACGCAATCAGGTATAAATAAACTTGAAATTAAGATTTGTTTTTTGGTTTTCTCCAATTTTTAATTGGAAATTGCGTTTTTTTATTAAGCTAAGCTGAGCTATAATTGATAATGTGAAGAGTGGAAATGTTGAGGAATGAGTCCAATTAATCTCACACAATAATGGAAGAAAGAAGATATAGGAAGCGGAGACGAATCTTCTAATTAACAATTCTTCCTAATTAATGAAATTTACTATGATGTTTGAACTGCAAATTTCAACAGCGCTCTCCATCGCACAACATATTCTTCCTAATCAAAACACTTCTGATGAGTCGAAAAATTTTCGCTACGCAACGATCAAAATGATACAATGTCACTTTCTATTTGTTACTCCGATATTGGTCGAGTAACTTCTGTTCACATTTGTTTCTGTTTGTCTATTTTCTGTTCCGGGAATTTGCTCAGGATTTAATTCTTGACATCTCGGGAATGTTCTGGAGGCAAATTTAGTAAGAGTGATAGGAAAAATGTCTATATTTTTGATAATAATATTTGTGTGTAATAAGCCAGACGGAATTACTTTCTTTTATGAATTAGTCAACAAATGCCCATTAATTAATCTGCCTAGGTGATACCTGTTATATCTTATATATTTTCATCCTCTCATGAATGTTATTGAAAGATAAGATAGGAGTCTGTTTTTTGTCTGGATCCTGTTTTCACAAAGCTAATTTTTATTTATTTTATTTTACTCACTCTTCGTTGTAGTATAGTGATTATATCGAGATACCATTGCATGATTGTGCTATTGATTCAGGTGTTCAAATCTGAGACACGTTGTGGTTTAATCAACAGCATATGTATGCACGCAGTCAGCGCGCAGAAACGCGTAATCGTGCGAAAGATGAATTGAAACGGGTTATTAATTCGGTAGACAAAGTTCGAAAATGGTAACTGAGTAGTTTCATATCTTGATTTAAAGATAGTTTAAATTTAAATAGAATATCCCATGAATAATGCTGATTTGTAAACAAGCTGTATTGTTTGCCTTTACAATGCAGTGTCTTTTTGTTAATTCTCAGATAACTAACCATCCCTCAAGATTTTCCACATACCTCGCCTTTTTTCGTTATCATTGAAGCACGTAATTAAAGTGCAGCTATCACTGTCAAGTATATTTTTGGATAAGCAAACTGGAAATAAGGAGCAGAATGGTCTAAGAGTATGTGATCTGGATGGTATGTCATGTTTAGTGCAATAATATTTTTTTTTAAGACTCTAAAGTTTGATTTTTGCAGGGAAAAGAAATGGATTGTGGTTAAGGATACGCAAATAAAGTTGTTCCGGTGGGTACCTGGTAAGGTTATTAAAATGTTTAAAAAGATCAATAGATGAGATTTAAAAGTTTCATATATTGTTTTAATTTTTTATTGGCATCATATATAGTATATGCACTTCTTTTTTCATTTTTTTTAGTGACTGCAACAACGAATATCACAAAAATGCCACAGAAGTCTGTAGTACAAGATCAAGATGAAAGTACAACAATTGCATCATCGGAAAATACTCAAGATTCATCTGCATTAGGTATTATTGTCTTATAAGGCCTATTCTTTCATCATTGCTTCATGATATCGATTATTGTTCAATGGAGAAAAATATGGTTTTGAGCTATTAAACCTCACCTCTTATTTCAGTAGATGTAATTTGTTTTCTAGAGCTTTGAAAACTTTCTATATTTACAGTGGTATTTAAAGCACATGCTAAATAGTGCATGGAGTGATATATGTTAATTAAGTAGAATCCTAGAAATAAGCTAGCCTAGTGTTCTATTGCAGAGAATAGTGATGTAACACGAGTTCGCGCCTTTAGTAATTTGAATGATGATTCTAATACTGGCTTCTCAGAAGGAGGATTCGATAGTGATTCCAACCAGACGTTTGAAGCAGTTGGTTTCCAGAGTCAGAGCAATAACAGCAGTACTCCTAATGGCTCAACAGATTTTAGTGAAATGCGACAGCAGGAACAGGAATCATCAGAAATCAAAACTTGAGTGTCGTGATTATTTCGGCCGGTTCACGTTGTTTGTACATACGTAGTCTTGTGTGCTGCTTATTTTATATTTTGAAAATATGTTTTAACAAGTTTGATGAATTAAAGTGAATGAACTGCAAGGTAGTTACTGTAGGAAAAAGTAAAGGGAACAACATATCTTTTATATTTGTTCAATTCTTTAGTCGATCATGAGAATAGTAGTTTTATGTTTGGAAAAGATTGCAATCGTTGAACGATTTACCATCTGAGCATTTAATGTCATACACACCATCGGTTTAATAATTTATTCTGCTTAAATGGTGAATGGATTAGGTGACAATTCAAATGTCTGATATAAATCAACAAGATAACAAAAATTGTCCCGACAGTTCTGGCTTCATCCAGCAATATTTTTTCATTGGCAGTGGAGTAAAGTGAACTGTTGGTAACATTTAAAGCCTAACCAAAATTTAATAAAAAAAAGAAAAGAAAGAAATTGAATCCTTCGTACCTTTCTGTATTGTTACAAAACGCTTCGAAGAGTATTTTACGTCTTTATTGCAAAATGAGTTGTTCATTTACGGTCATTGGAAAAAAACAGTAATAACAACAACAATAAAAGATAGGAGGGAATGCGTGTTACATTTCCATTGCTTGAGATTTTCATTGCTACTGGGCAAAAGCGCCATAACTGTGACGTAGTGATTGGTGGTGCTGCCGTCATATTAATAGTGTGGAACTTGTAAGCTGTGTTATCATTGAAAAAATATAGATCTGAAAGAAATTTTGCCTTTTACTAAGAAACTTCAAAGTTTTGATTTCTGATTTTTTACGATTTATCTAGCCAGATCTATTACTAATCTTTTATTTTGAGAAAATATGAGGCATTCATCAGGAAGACAACCAATAAAAAGTGAAAACTGAAATTCTATTTCTTTTTACAACAGCTAAGGGAATTATATAAATGTGATGAGCTTAAGACCGTAAACGGTAGAAATGTATGGATCAGTAATAAGTGATTTTTAGATTCAAATAAGCAAGGAAAAAGAAACAACCATCATTATAAGTAACGGCAGCGCTAGCTTGCTCTGGAATACCATGCCATGTTGTTGCGATCTTTCGTGGATAACCAATTTCAACCTTTCCAGATTTCTACAATAATCTTTCTTCATTGTTTAAGTATATGAAGAAATCACAGCGAAAAATTATTTCAGCTTTGGATCTTCTATCATTCATACCTTATCAACTCTCCAGAACTTATCTTTTGTCCAAATGTACATCGGTTGTTCGGTCCAGTAATTCCATGTGTAAACAAGTCGAATGCGTTCAACATTGGCTGGTAAGCCCAAATCGGTGAGCATTTTCTTTGAGACAAGACGTTGACCGTTGAATATGTAAATATCTTTACCTATAATCAATTTGGAAGTAGAAAATGAAGTGAGATTTAAGTATTTTCTGCATAGCACTGGAACTCGAAATTATGTACATATACATATATTACAATTTGATTAATATATTTAGTACTATACAAAGATACTCTAATGAGGGAAAGTATAACGAAAAGTTTCTTCCTAAATTTTCACTAACATAAGTTACACTTATTTTATTCCTTCTAATCACAAATAATAATCATAGTGATTACTTCTTTTAATAATTGTATCTAACAGTGATAACTTCAATATACCTGCGAATAGGTAGATTTGATGATCACTTTCCACTGCCGCATCTATAGGCCATGCAGCCTCTTTCCATAGCGTATTGATATGATGTGGACTCTGACTTAACGTACCATCTTGTCGTATTCGCCAAAACCATCTATCCTAAAGAATAGATGAATTGAATGAATATGTATTATATTCCATGATTAGTGGAAGATTTATGAATTGTCTAGTTTAGTGGAATCAGTCTCCGTTCTTCCTTAACAGGACGTCAATTTCAAGAAGGAAGAAATAAGCAACTTTAAAAACGAAGATCTCTTGTCGTATGGAAGCAACGGCGTCGTATTCGGATTTGCATGGGTCTGGTTCTGGGATTGGTAACTCTGGAGTATCCGGATGAATTGTTGGAAGCTGATTTGTTGGTTGCTCAGGTCTTCTTGGCAACGATGGTGATTGTGTAGTAGTGGTTGAATGCAATCGAGGAGCATCTGTTGGTTCTTTTGGATGATAAGCACCGCCTGGTAGTTCTTTTAATATTAAATATATTGAAATAACTATTTAATAAACTCTCCATTTACTGATAAATCCTATATATCGATGATGCAAATATTTTGCATTCCATTATCTCTCATTATTATTGTTATTATAACTCTTATTTCTCAACCGCATTGTCCACTTCTTTAGTGCATCATTCTCTCCTTATTGATAGACAAATAAAAATGAAACATAGCCTATTGGAAACTTATATCCAACTACAAAATCTATTCATGAATACATTTTTTTTTATCCAGGATAATCATTATTAGCATTTGGAATAACGAAGAAGCTAAATAATTTACGCTTAATTTATTAATTTACACTGTTCTAGATAGCTTTTTAATTATTCGATAGAAGATCGAAAATATTTATCAGTAACATGAAAAGCATATTTACCACCATAAAGAGTTCGAACGGCCAATAAATCATCATATGAGAGTTTTGCCGGTAAGTCATACTGATAAAAAGCATACATGACACTATCTTCTTGATTTGAATGAGATAGACCGATACTATGTCCAAATTCATGCATTGCAATCGAACGAAGACTCACCTCTGCAATTGCTTACAAGAACAATCTCATCAAAAATGTTATCAGGATGATAAGACAAGTGAGTGATGGAATCCATTTAAAATAATCATTTTCTCTGAAAATAACCGAAAAATTCCATTCATGATTGATTACAGATAGTCGAGTCACTTGCTACCAGAATTTCATTAAATTTCTGGTACAGAATGAGGCTCAGGCTTACTCACGCTGCCTATAAGGATCGCCTGTGAGTGCAACGGTCCAATGTTCATCATCGTCCAGATGAATGTCACCACCGATTCCTTCACCAGGTGGAAATGCATGTGCTAAAATTTTTCCACTTCCATCGAAATGATACGGATCACCATGATCACCTATTGCAAAACGTATCTTTACGTCAGCTTCTGATTCCGGTCGTACTTCATGAAACTGCATTGGCAATATATATTGCCAACTATTGATTGCTTCATTTATTTCACGTCGTATTGCGCCCAAATGAGGAATACTTCGAGATGGATTATTCACACTGTAATTTTGATAGTTCTTTCAAAAGTAATTAGATTCAAAATTTCATTAACTTACTTAGATGCATCCAAATTGGTTGCCTGAAAAAAATTTTTGCAACACAAAAAAAAATGGATATAATTCTACTTTCGTGCGTATCTTTACCTTCCTCGTTTTAATTAAATTTAAATATATGATAAGAGATTAATAAATTAATCCATTTATATGTGTAACAGTTGTTTGTATCTAATTAGCTGCAAAATGATTAATTAACTACGGCTAGTTAATTGAATTGTTTAAATTCATTTATAGATTGTTCTTTTCTTGCTATCACTCTTCGTTAAATATGATTATAATTATCATTTCAAATACTATAGCCCTTGCTTATATAACATTTCTACTGATCGGACCGATCCAGCATTTTGAATTCATCAAAACATCTCTCCACCTCTCACGTTTCCATCACTTCTCTATCCAGTATTGATTAAAAGAAGATGAAAACATTTCGATCTGCATAAGAAAACTTTTAATTTCTTAAAGTATAGATGGAGTATGATATTTACTTACAGTATAGATAGAACTGCTTCAACTATTCTTTAAAATTATTTTTCCCTAATTGAATTACTATAAAAGGAGAAGATAGCATACCAGTGACAGTTGTAAAGAAAGTAGTGTTGATTTGAGAGGCGCACATAGGCTTAGGTTTTTGTTGGATTGAAAGGTTGAGAAAGCAGTCCGCTTACTCAAGGAGGTTGTGATGAATTGAAGAAATACCGTATGAAACATCATACAACCAGCCGAGTAAGCTGAACGCCGTACAATCAACCATTTTCACTTGTCAAAGGATAGATTTGATTGAGCAATTTAAAAATTTAGTATTGGATCGTATTAGAATAATATACGAAAGGAACCGTTTAGAAATAATCGAACAGCTGCTTTTCAAGAATTGATGAGTTTGGAGAGGAGGACATTTGAAGCGATGAGAATAGTGTATGCAAACAGAGACAATGATCATATAATATTGAGATAGGAAGAATTTAACATTCTCTTCAATTTCAGGAAAACTTCAACAAAAGTTTTACATCCGTTCTCTTTCATCCTGTACATTCTTTCACTTCTACTATATTCCAACGAAACAAAATGATCCATCGATATTGGATCAAACCCTTCAATTTTTCCATTCATTTATTTCGTATAATTAACCCAAGGAATAATCGGAATGAAAATTAGTTGAAATGATTGGAGAAAAATTAGGAATGTAAGATGATGTGGTTAGATAGAAATGATCAGATCAAAAAGGAATATGCTAATTATAACAAATTGAAGTGAATTTTTTTTCTTTCTACATGAAAATATCCTACAGTATTTATAATTGAATGAAAAATAATTGTAATAATTCAGTAGCGTTTAATATACTATTAGTTTATTGCTTTCTTAATTAAATCATATCTTTGCATATTGATCAGTTAAAAGAAGACTGCTGTTAAACTATTTTGTTTTCAATAGTTACATTCGATAGCTGAATCTTATCGAATAAGATAATTTCATCAATTTATTTCATTTTTCTTATTGAAGATTAAAAATTACAAAGATTACAAATAGACTATATATTATCAATTAAATATAGCATTTTATGCAGGAATTAATTTCTTATTGCAATTCGGAAAGAGGAAATTTGAAGTGAAAAAAAGCAAGTATATGAAATGTTTGAATATAGCAGATAATGATAAGATGGTTTGGATTGATTGAGAGAGAATAATTTCAATTTATTTTCTCAAACTGGTTCATTCATAATCGATGATAAAAGACGAGAATTGTTAGGAAAGGCATTCCATATGGTTCGCTTCTAAATTAAGTGCCTTCTCTGAAGTCATAAAGTTTGCTTGGAAGAATAGATTATCGGCGAAAAATGGACAGCATAATATTGTGAACATATGGTTCCACTTAGAGTACCGTACAAATTAACTAAGCATATTCCACAAATATAGAAGCAACAAAAATTTTTTTTAAACATATATTTAAATGTAAAATCATGTTAAAATGTAATCATATAACTTACGTTACAAATCTCATTTGGGAATTCTTTTTGCCTTCTCTAATATTTACTGAGTACATCCCGGATTGTGCTATAGGTGTAAATGCTAAGCAAAGATGTAATTGTCAATAAATGTTTATCACTATTTATTTTAGCAAATTAGCATAGGGTGATAAGAATAATAATGATAAAATAGACACTTCACAATTGTATATGCATGATGGATAGATCGATCGAAAATTTTAAATGGAAATGATTTGATGATAATTTATATCCATTTCTTACTATTACAAGTAATTTAGGCATATAAAATATCAGGATTGCAAGGGTTAAGTTGGAGAAAAAGTAGCAATGAATGGAAGAGATTGGACGTTAACTAACGGTCGGTGATATTTGTTGTGTAGGAACAGCTGCAGAACAGCTGCTCATTGTAAGCAAAAAGATACCTTTTGGCTATCATTATCATCAGAGCATCTCTCGTTCAATCTTAAAGCTTAACAGTTGGCTATATTATATTATACTTCATTTTTAACATTTCTACTTCAAAAAAATTTTTTCCCTCTTGCATCTCCTTTTTTCTTCTTCAAACTGTCACGCACATATACACACACACACACACACATACAGACATACATACACACATACACAAATACAAACATATACACACACGTCCACAGACACACACATACACACACACACACACACACATTAGATGATCCAAAAATCTGACAGCATTTTTATTATCTTAAAACAAATGAAACAAAACAACAACAACAACAACAGTGGTGGTGGTGGTGGTGGTGGTGGTGGTAGTAGTAGTAGTAGTAGTAGTAATAGTAGTTGTTGTTGTGATCGTTTGTATGGATCATAGCTTTAGAAAAGTTATATAGCTCTCAACTATACTTTACATTTTCGAATGCTTCGCTTAATTGAAACTGGAATGAAAAACAGACTGCTAGCAGACAATAGCAACTTCATTTCCTTTTCATTCTCTTCATTTTGTGAATGTATATATACAATTCGAAAAATTTTCAACCCATCAGAATGATTCATCACCAAATTACTCCCTCTGCATGCAACCAAAATGTCACTTTTATATCATCACATCTATTCAAATTTATATGAAAAAAAAATTCGTTTTTTTTTTTCCTCAAAGCATAAATCAATAATTTGAAAAAGTTTATTTGATAAAATAAAATATGTTGCAATGAGATATTATCTCATTGTTATGATGAAAGTTCGAATTACTAATAATAACATTAATATGTTACTTTTCAAATTATATTCCAATAATTTCTGTTTTTATTTGAAATCAACGGAGGGATCTATTCATGATTTTTTTTACCCCGAATTCTTTTTTTTTTAAAATTTCATATTTAAATTGAGTATCTAGAAGAGATATATTGAAGTTTTTCATATGAAGAATGTTTGGTAATTTTTATGGGGAAAGTCCCGAAAACAATTGTCAACACAAAATTAAACTTACACTTTAGAACTATTTAGTCAATTATCAATCAGTTGTTATCAGTTGTTATCTTCAAAGTTTATTATAATCAGCAAAATGGTATAGATATTAAAATGATTGTTAATATTAGTTCTTATCAAAAAAGACAATTGATAAGATCTTAAAAAGCAATTACTTGCTATTAAATAAAGGGAATAACCTGTATGTAATAATTTGTTTAGTCCATTTTGGTCCCATTAAAGCGAATCGTTTTTGATGTCCACGTCTCCTTCTTCCTTGAAACGCTTCTTCAATTGGACGATCACTTAAGCCACATCTAAATTTCATCAAATAATATTTCTTTGCTGTAATATTTCATCAAATAATTTTTTTTCCAATATGTCTCTTCTAGGTACTCAATTGAAATATGAAATTTCAAAAAAAAAAAAAGAATTTGGGGTAAAAAAATTTTTAAACAAACAAGATTTTTTTTCGGTTAAAAATTATTCATATCGGAAATATTCAAACACCTCTTCCTGGACATTAATTCTCGAGTAGCAGCATCTATTTTTCCAGTTATTGGTATATTTCCGTATAGCTGCAATTCTCGGATTGCTTCTTCCATCATTGTTTCACTAAGCATTGCTGCTACATTTGAAGTTGGTTTAGGCAAATAACCAAATTCTTGCAAATATTCAATCTGAAATGCTTATTTAATATATTTTCCACAATAAGCTGCTTATCGACAGATTTTTTTTATTGATGTAAAGTTAAGAAGAAAGATGACAATTTCATGCTTTTCATCATCTTTAGAATTACAAAAAAAAAAAAAACTCCTTCAATGATTGCAATTTTTCACTTGTTTAATAGAGAATAACAAAAAGGCCAAAGATATGAAAATGCACATACTTCTTGTTTGCTATAAGGTGTTACCAGAGATATGAGTAGCGATGTTGCTGAATATATCAGATATATCACTAGTATAGTCATACTTAATGTCATCCTCAACTGTCGCAATTCTTCATTTCAAATATTTCGCCTTCTTTGTCGCATTTCTTTTCTTTTCCTTTCTTCCTTTCTTTCCTTTTTCTTTGAACTTTCTCCACAAATCACCTTTAACATGTCTTAATTTTTCAAGTAAACAAAATAAACAAACAAACAAACAAATTGAATAAATAGTAATAAAAACGGAAACTAAAGTGGGCGCGCATCTGGCAATTTGGAAAATGTGAGAAAAGATGAATCAGTTAGTTGATAGTGCAAAATGAGGAGAAATGAGATACAATTCTGATCTATCATCAAAATGCTTACATCATTATCTGTAAAAGAAAGGGTAACATCTGCATTGTGTACTTTAACAATATAACAAATTACTGTCTACCTGTGGTCCACCTTAGCTTACATTACGACGACGAAAATGTAAGAAGCAGTGAATGATGAGTGATAGAATTGCTTACTAGCAAGGAGTTTTTGCAACTGGACGAAAGATAAGAAAGAAAGACAAAAGGAGGATAAAAAGAGAAATGATAATGTTTCGCAGATATTCATATCATTTTGTAATTTGTGGAATTTTTTGAAACGAAAAATTATATATGTCCTCACTACAACGCACATTATTAAATTATTAGGAGCAAACTTTTGAATATATCTTTGATAAAGGGGAAAAAAGAATGATAAGCGCAAATTTGAAGCAATTTAGAAGTAATGATTTGATTAAAAAAAATGTCATCATATAACAATTAAAATTAAAACTTTTCATTGGCATAATTTAACATCGTTATATTTTTATCATAATTTATTGATATTAATAGCGTTGCATTAAAAAAATCATCATAGAAATTGTATGTATTGATATAAATCAATTTCCTAGCATTAATTTATTTATCAAATATGCCGTATAAGCAATCTCTAAAACTCGTTATTACAAATTTCCTTGAATAAAAAAAAAATTATTGAAAACTGAAAAAATGGAAGGAAGAAACTATTGTCATTTATTATCTTACCGCTTTTATCACTTTTTTTATCATCATTATCAATCGCCTAATGAATGAATGAAAGGAGCTATTTGCAAAATGTTACTGAGAAGAAATGAGCTAACGATGTAACTTTTCAACTACTCGGTAACAACTATTCGGTTTCAATTTTCAACAAAATAGCATACCATAGGTTGAAATAAAAATAATACGCTAATGGATAATCAGCGATTGATATAACTCTCTGTTCGATAAAATATCACATTTCAATAGCATAGAAATTCAAAAAATCTAAACGATTGTAATGAAGGATGTAAAGAAATTTTCTGAAAACAAAAATTTAATATAAACTGGTTTATACAAAAATGAATTACAAATATTTGATGATCGATCAAAATGCATAATGCTACTGAGTGATCAATCGTTCGATATTATCTTGAGACAGTCTTTTTTTTCAAAAATATTAATCTTTTAGTAAAGAAATTTTAATCAATTCTTTTAAGCTTAACTGTAAATTTGAAATAAAGCATTGGCATAAATCAATTTTTTTTCTTCATTTGCAAAACTTCTCTTCATCCAATTTTTCACTTAGCATTATAAAATAAATTGTAATTTGGAAGAGAAAGTGTCAAAATTGCATATGTAACATTTCTGAAGCACTCCAACTATCACATTTATTCAACATTTGTCAACGATTAACAAATACTCTGCTTCTTCCTGCCAAGCTAACAGTGCTTGGCCATACATTAACTTGGCTATGCTATTGATTAAAATGACGAGATATTCAAAAAAAAAAATATTGAAAGAGCTCGGATAAATAACTTACTGACAGATATGCGATGATGCTATTTCTAGCTTCATCTAATATTGCTCACTATTAAGTAATAAAATAAACTTAATCTTTTGCATTTCATATATTCATCCCTCTAGCTTTTCACTATCTTTATTTTTAAATTGTTTTTTTTAAATTTCTTCTAAAATCATCCTTAAAATATTATGCAAAAGTTTGCAATTGTTTGGAATAGTCATCAGTATTCGAAAATTGATTGCCTGCTTAGAGATAAATGATGAAGGAGAAAAGCTGACTGTAATCATTGATGAATGAATTCCTCGTCAACTGATCCAATTGCAAAACTCTGTATAGCTAGAAAAATGTGGACCACATTAGTGATTGCGGTAAACAGTGATAATCACAATCAGTGGAAAGTCAACAACATAACTGGTTAAAAAAAGTATTATCAACGAGTACATTATCATCACTGTCTATCAATGACAGTTTTATTGCCTTATTTGAAACAAAATTTAGGATTGATTTAGGCATGAAAAGCTGGTATAATATATGAATTTCTCAAATGATCATAAATATATTCAATTTGTTACCGATTTTTTAATATAATTTTTCAATAATAAGCAGATAACTAATACAGTCTCCTCAATTGAAAACTACTGAACAGGAAATTATGATCGTAAAACGTGAAAATTCTAATATAATCCGTGAAATGTGGAAATTTAATCGATCTACGAATGTCCAATATGAATGATTAGCTCAAAAGTGATTAGTTCAAAAATGTGTGCAGCAAAAAATTTGAAGCTAAATTAAATTATCAATAAAAACTTAATCATTAGAAGTTGAATGAAATTGAGGAAGAAACAAAATAGAAGGAAAAGAAGAAGGAGTGGAAATAGTTCGATAAAGGAAGGCCTAATGTGATGGATGTAATGGTGGAGCGATTCATACATGCTTAGCATTACATATATGTATCGGACAAAGAAGACTTCATCGATAAGTCCCCGAAGGTCACTCATACCGCAGGGTCTCCTGATGAAATGGCCATTTTTTTTGTCCTTATTTCTATTGCTAAGCAAAAAAAAAAACTTTTATTGAAGTGCCGCCACATTCCGGGCGATACAATACCAGATGTTGGGAACACTAAAACTTATTATTATTGATCTTAATAGGATTGTCTTCTACTCTTCACCAGCCTGAATTACAGTTAAATGATTGCTTATCAATGAAAATTCAATATTATCGTATCAATAGCATCAAAGAGAGCATGCATGAAATTCACAATCATTTCTAGCTCACTTTTGCAAATTTAAATACTTCATTCATTATTCCATTCTTGGATTTCAATTTCAATTTTTGAAAGATTATTTAAATGTATATTTTTTTTTATTTCAAGAAACTGTGTGCAGCAAAGCAATTATGCTTCCATGCAATATTTTTCTTTTTTTAACAACGATAAAAGAGATTTACGTTATGATATTTCCACATGCGATGCTATTTTACTGCAATGTAGAAGCGTTCAGATTGAACTTCACGAAATTCTCGATAGAATGAATCATAATTAAAATTGAAACGAATCATTGCAATTTTGATTTCGATACAATCACTATCATCAATTTCATTTCCGTGCATTTTGTAATATTGTACCATTTAGTCTTAATTCGATATACGATCAGTAAAATAATTGCTATCCGAACTAGATCAGTTGCATCGATTTTTACCGAATAGTGATAGAATATAACTTTAATTAGCATAAATAAATAGAAAAGATAAGAAAGAATGATTAAAGGTAATGTTTTTTTTTTCCATTGCTGTAAGATAAGTTGCAATCATACATTTCTTTGAAAATATTGCATAAAAAGCTGTGGAAAGCGTTATGTTTTACCAAATGGCAATAACGCAATTAATCGATCACTTATTCATCGTTATTCAATCACCGTTAAAGCTAATAATAAATTTTTTCATATTTTATTTCAGCTGTATATGTAAATGCCATTTGATGTTATATATAAGAGAGACTAATATAATTTGACTATGGATTTTTTTATTCATTTCTCCATTGAAAATCTCTAAAATCCTTAACTAAATTCAAAATGTGTATTTCAAAAGTGTAACAATATAACTCATATGATCCCAGAGTTTATCCAAATATCATGAAATGAAATATGAAACAACGGAGTACCATCACTAAAAATTGGTCAAGCCATCAAAAAGCGTCTGAATTATTTTGTGAAGACAATCAAAGGTAATTAATTATATGGGAGTAGCCTGAGGCTCGATAAGAATTTCGTTGACAGCAACTGAAGATGGTTGATTTACTGCATACAGTACTGCTCGAGCGACATCTGATGGATTAAGGATTGGATGACCTGCCTTGGATACATCATATTTCGCACATGCCTAAAAAAGCAACCAACATAAAATTCTGTAGAAATCCTTTTTTTCTTTTGATATGAAGTGCATATTAGGTGAGATGAAGAGAAATATCAATTCAATCGGAATATAAGCCATGAAATAATTTACTTCTTTATCAATAGAATGACTTGTTAATTCCGTTTCAACATCTCCCGGTTGAACATTCGTCACTCGTATGCCGTGTTCAACCATTTCTAGACGTAATGCTTGCGACATACCTTCTATGAAAAATTTGGTACCGGAATAAACAGCTAATCCGGCAAAACCCTAAAATGTTGTATCTGGAAAATTGATTTTTCATTTATTTCAAATATTCATTGAATTGCTGCAGGATTATATTATCATAAAGAGTTTAACAAAAATCAACAATAATTTATAATGCATAATATGTTTAGGAAACGAAACTTTACCGATGGAAATGGATTCTATAATTGAGAACGTTTTTATCTTTCATTTCCACATATTATCACTTCAAAAAAAAAAAAACCAAATTTCGGCCTAATGCTTACACGTTTTCCAGCATCAGATGTTATATTTACAATATGCCCTGATCCAACTTTAATCATGTGCGGTATTACTGCTCCAATACAATTCATTGTACCGCGACAGTTCACATCAATTTGAAGATTCCATTCCTAAAGTTACATTTTTCATCATTAAATTCTCCAATACACTTCTTTCACAAACTCTTTCAATACTTGAAGAATTCCTAATTGATAATGATGAGTTGAACGTACTTTTGTTGGTCCATTCTTCATCATCTCATAATACATACATCCGGCATTATTCACCAGTACATCTATTGTTCCATACGTTTCCACAGCTCGACTTACCACGAATTGTACGTCACTCATTTGCGTAACATCACACGGCACAGGAAGTAAATTACTCGACATACATCCTTCTGCTTCCAATCTAATTTTAACAAAAATCAATAATTATAATTATCTTTGTCAATATACAATCCACATCGCTTTCACTCTTCTTTCCTTCTTGTGATGATGCCTAATAAAATGAAAACATACTTGTTAAATAATTCCATCAATTTTGTTCGTCGCCTTGCACAGAATACCACTTTCATATATCCAATTAAGGCAAGTTCTCGAACGATTGCCTCACCAATACCTGTACTTGCACCTGTTACTATACAAACTTTCCCAACCGTTGCATTTCCTGCAATTAAATTGATAAGTACATGACAAATTAATGTTATACCAATTAATTCTATCGCATTAAAATAATGATTTAAAACTTTGGAATGAATTATGAAAAAAGTGAGAATTTCGAAAGTTCCATATACGACTGATCCCTGAATTCGAACTCTAACCAATCAATCAATGTATCGGTTTTTTAATGAATTAAAATTAAAAACTTATCAAATGGAGTAGATGTTGGTATTCTTGTAAAATTGTTATGCGCCATAAGTCTAAGCCAATGAGTGAATAAACTTTTTGTCACAACTGGATATGTGCAATTCATATTTTTCAATGTTTTTTCTGTATTTGTTCGCTTATAAATTGATTGTGTCGTGAAAAAGGCATCATCTCTACAAATGTAACAATCCCTCATCTATGAATTTCATTTAAATTAGCAAAAAAAAAAAGTTTTTTTCATATATAACTTTTCGAGAATTTTTCGTATCCCTTAGAAATGTCAAGATCGCATTTACTGATGATCAATCAAAAGGATTGGTTCAGAACGGACTTTTGATAAATCATTTCTCATTTTGTCTCTTTACTCTTCTAGCTTGTCTTCTTGGAAAGCATTTAGTCTAATAATTACTTCCAGTCACTTCTCAAAAAAATTTTTTCTATTTAGAAGAAAAATTTGATATTCGAAAGATTATATGAGAAATGACATCCAAAAAAAATATTATATTTTTTCAAATGAACTCTTACTTGATCATTATTTGAAATAATTTATGCATTTGTTGGTATTCTGCTCCTTCATTCGTACTTATTCTAAAATAATTATGTGACAAAATTAAAATTTTTTTTTGCTACTGTATCATAAGATTTCATTTCCTAATATAAGTCAAATATTTATCACTGTTATCAGTGATAATTCATCCCAGCTCATTCAATAGTATCTTTAGGACTCATCAAAAAGAATATACAATTCAAATTTGCATGATGAAATAATGATTTTAACTTACAATTGATCCCATTGCTGCAATGGTATCAATCGTATTGGAATGCCAAAATCATTTATCCAATTAACCATTTGTCGCCAATTTGGTCCTTCACTATTTGTTAAATGAAATATTTTTCCCATACTGTCACGGAAATTTTTTGTTAAAATTTGTGTAATAAATGATGCAGTGAAATCGACAGGTGTAAATTCTACCTGTAAATGAAAGATAATTTTTTTTGTCATTAAATGTCATCAATATCAAATTAATTAACAACGATCGGTTATTTTATCTCATAAAATATACTAGTTAATATCAAAATTATCAATATATGATACAGTATTGATCTACGTTAAACACGTTAATGACCAATTTTTTTCTTCTAAATTATTTACTATCAATTACGTACTGCATCGTGTATCTCTTTTTTAAAGACAATTTGGTTAGTTATTTTTTCAAGTATGAATTAAGCATGATTTTTATATATTTTATGAGCTTTAATCGTGAAGAAAAAAAAACATTGAAAAAAATACCACCCAATCCAAATCTGGAGCCATTTTAGATTGAATGGAGCAGAAAATTAACAAATAGATGAAATCCTGTTTATTCCACACACCTGTACTCATTGAAGCTGCTTGATTCCCTGCAACTTTCTCCTCTTCATTTGATTCTAATCACATCTTATACATAAATCAATTCAATTCTTTCATTTCTATCCTATTTTTCTTCTACTTTTTTTTTATTTCATTTACAATAAAAACTTTAATCACAGTTTTTACAAGCGTGCTCTCTGAAAGAGAGAAAAAAAGAAATTTTCAATTTTCAATATTCAATATGAATAATAAAGAATTCCAGAATCAACCAAATAATAATATACCAAGTCGAAAGATTACTGTTGGGAATCCTCGAATCTGTGAATTAAGTACCAATTTTTCAGCTACCCATTTAGTTTGAGCATAACCATTCGTCAATTTTCCCTGCACATCCTCATTTTCAGTATCTTCATCAACATCTTTTAAATTTGACGGTATCACTGCATCCGTGCTGCAAAAATGCAAATTGAAATTTATATTTTTTAATCCAATTGAATGGATATCATTTTGATAGTGATATTATTATGTTTAAATATCAATTAAATTTCTCAATATATATATGTCAAAAATTTTTGTAACTTTTCTTTCTTCTGTAAAAAAATAAAGCTGCAATAAAAATTACAGAAAAACACTACAAAAAATATCATATCATATTATTTCTATTATTATATTATTATTTATTAAGTTAATTCTAAAACAAAAAGATATATTTTTCATAATATTTGCAGATAAATTTGTACCTTAGATAATAAAGTGGTTTCACTTTATTTTGATGACAGAAGTCCAGAATATTTCGTGTACCCAAAACATTGATACCATGTAGAGCCTATAGAAATAAACTTTTTTTCACTAATGAAATTTGGATATTTTATTGGTATTTGATAATATTCAATAGAATCACTATTATTTTATCATACTTTGATCATTGTTAAATAATATTAAGGTTGAAAACAGGTACACAAGTCTATCCATTCACTACTATGGTTAATTTGCTTTAATTAATATTAAAATATCATTTCGTTACCTGATATGGGAAGATTAAATTCACGTAAGCAGCAGCATGGATTACCATATCTACTTCGTAGGTCAGAAATAAATATTCTTCCTCGCTAAGGCCTAATCGTAGCAATGCCACATCACCAGAAATTATTTTAACTCGAGTTTTGATTAAATCGCTTAGCGTATTTGTCATCATGCCTGAAAAAATTATGTATAAATATATTAAAATCATCTAATTCTTTAACAAGTTAGCTCGTGCTGAATTATTTATCACCTAATTTTACTTAACCCAAGAAAATCATCTTCGATTTACTTTTTAGAAATGATTATTACCACAAGAAACTGGAATAAAATTGAGATGTAATTTCTCACCTGTCTTTTCAATACTATCTATGAGCCTGGAATTTGTAGTGACACCTGCGCTCTCTCGAATCAAACAGATAACTCGCATCTGAAATGGATGAATGAATTCAC